GCCAATACAAAGGAGGAGAAACTCGTAGAGTTGTGGACGAAGCAAGAGTGTCTCTTTGACGTGCCATTCATTTTGTACTGCGACAGACCTTGCTCTTCACTTTCTGTCAATCAGGGTTGTGTCCACATTCTGCGATGTCTTCTCTTTTTCTCTTCAGCTGTTTTCTTCAAGCAAAACACTGTGCACACAAGTGCAGCTGTAGCCAAACACTGCTTTTGTTTCTGCTCCATTTCTGTTTCTTGTAACTTCCCATGAGGAGCATAATGCCAGCCTTAATGACTTTTCAAGTGATTTTGTGTTGCAGACAAATTTCCAACACTGGAATAAAATCACGAGAGTCTCTGCTACAGTCATGTCATGCTCACGTCATCTTGTGTTGTTTTAAGTCCATCTTTTTCTCCTCTTGAGCTTTTGATAAAATCAAACACATTTAATATTATCATAAGTCTCTAGCCTTGGTTCATGCAGACAGTGACATGAACATCATAAACAACCAATACTGTAAGTGAGTTCTCTCCAGCACCAAACAGGAATTAGCATAGTGGGAACAGAAAAAGCAGTAAATATATCATACATCTATGGGTAAATATGACGGCAGCTCCGGTGACTCTTTGCCTCGGAAGGCACAGCTCTGTTGGAGCGTTACAAAGGAGAAGAAACTGGTGGACTAGTGGAGTAAGCAAGAGTGTCTGTTTGACATGTCATCCAATTTGTACCATGACAGAGTGAAGAACAAGAAAAGGTAGAGAGACCTTGCTGTCCCCTTTCAGTCAATCAGGGTCATGTCCACAGTGGTTTCTTATCTTTTTCTTTTTGGCTGTTTTTTTCCAAGCAAAACACTGCAACTGTAGCCAAATGTATGAGCATATAGGAAGTAGTGTCAGGAGAAATCTAGTTGCAGTCTTGCAAATAGTGACCCTGCACTATCCCCCGTTTTTGCAGAATCATAGTCAGGCAAACAGGTATTGCACTGAGGGTTGTCGTTTTGTTATACAGTCATGGGTTCAGTGTTCATCAGTGTGATGGCCTGGGGGAAGAAACTGTCTTTGTGTCTGGTTGTTTTGGCGTACAGTGACCTGTAGCGCTGTCCAGAAGGGAGGAGTTCAAACAGATTGTGTCCAGGGTGTGAGGGGTCTGCATAAATCTTCTCTGCCCTCCTTTTGACCTATGAGGTGTACAGGTCCTCCAGGAGGGTAGGCTGGCACCGATGGTTCTTTCTGCAGCCCTAACGGTCTGCTGGAGTTTGTTCCTGTTCTGTTTGGTTGCTGAGCCAATCCAGACAGTGATGGAGGTGCAGAGAACAGACTCGATGATTCCTCTGTACAACTGTATCAGCAGCTCCTGGGGCAGGTTGAACTTCCTGAGCTGGAGCAGGAAGTACATCCTCTGCTGTGCCTTCTTGGTGATGGTGCTGATGTTGGATGTTCACTTCAGGTCCTGGGAGATAGTGGAGCCCAGGAACTTGTAAGACTCTACCACTGATACAGTACTGCTGAGTATGGTGAGGGGGTTCTTCCTAAAATCCACTGTCATCTCCACTGTTTTGAGTGTGTTCAGCTCCAGGTTGTTGTGACCACACCACAGGGCCAGCTCTTCTACCTCCCATCTGTAGGCCTACTTGTCACTGTCTTGGATGGGACTGATGACCATTGGGTCATCTGCAAACTTTAGGAGTTTAACAGGAGGGTCTCTGAGGTACAGTTGATGGTGCAGAGGGAAAACAGCAGCGGAGAGAGAACACATCCCTGGGGACGCCTGTGTTGATAGTCTGGATGCTGGATGTGGTTTTCCCCAGCCTCATCTGTCTCTCAGAAAGCCAGTGATCCACTGACAGGTGGGAGCAGGCACAGTGAGCTGGGTCAGTTTAAATTGGAGGATGTCCAGGATGATGGTGTTGAATGCTGAGCTGAAGTCCACAAAGAGGACCTGTGCATAGGTCTCTGGGGAGTCAAGGTGTCGCAGGATGTAATGCAGTGCTATGTTGACTGCATCATCCACTGACCTGTTTGCCCAGTAGGCAAACTGCAGGGGGTCCAGCAGGGGCTCTATGATGTCCTTAAGGTGGGCCAACTCCAGCCTTTCAAAGGACTTCATAACTACAGATGTCAGGATGACAGGTCTGTAGTCATTCTCTCCACTGATGGAGGTTTTCTTGGGGACTAGGATGATGGTGAAGCATTTGAACCAGGAGGGGACTTCACACAGCTTCAATGATCTGTTGAAGATAAGTGTGAAGATGGGGGCCAGCTGATCAGCACAGGCTTTCAGGCAGGAGGGGGTCATACCATCTGGGCTGTTGCCTTTCTGATTTTTTTAAGGGCATGCACATCCTTTTCACAGATCTTTAGGGGTGGGGGCTGGAGGGCTGGGGGAATGGTGGTGATCATGGGGGGAGCATCTGCTGGGTCTGAGGTGAGGTGGGTGAGGGGGGAGTTCTGCTTCTCAATTTTACAGTAAAACACATTCAGGTCATCTGCCAGTTGATTGTCTTCTACATTAGTGGAGAAGACCATCACTATCACTAGCTACTAGTGATGTTTCACAGAATTCTCACAAAGACTCCAGACTACCTTGCTGAACCTGCTGCCATGGTGACCCAATCTCAGATAAGTGGAAGAAAATGGATGGATTGATGTTTATTATTAAAATATCTTTGTATGTGTTTGTGTTTCAGGTGACACCAGATCAGTGGAAGATGATGGAGGCGATGATCAGAAGCACTAAAGGATCCTAAAAACACTTAGACCCTACTCATTTGTCGACAGCAATCAATCGAATGACTGTGATGTTACAATGGAGATGTTGAGGCCTGCCTACCTGCACTTCATTATGATGTTTAATGTGGCAGGTGTGCAGATTGCTTTGATGAATTTCCTAGAATTCTGTAGTTGGGAGTTTGAATTGGATAACTTGGGAGTCCAGACTAATGAGTACAGGAGGATTATTTACAATTGCAACTGCATTGTTTTAGAAAACACCAGGGCCTCAGTTTGGGATGGTCATTTTCATAGCTAACTTCTAACTAATTTCAACTACTCAGATTTTTCAGGGAAAACAAATCTAATTGACAGTGAGTGTAGTAAAAGAAACACCTATGAATCAATCTGTAATAATAATTAAAAATTAAACAACTTTATATAAATCACATTCTGTTCATTTTCATTCATATATATTTATTTACAATCGCAAGAAAAAGTAATGGCATTGTTTGCGGTTTCCTTGTTTTCTGCATAAATTGGTCATGAAATGTGATTTGATCTTTAACAAAGTAGCAAATAGAGTAAAGTCCATCTCTGGGAAGGTGGGGCCCTTGAATTTCATTGTGTCTGGAAAGTCGGTTGTTGAATCATGAAGAGTTGACTTTAGTTTAATGGACTCATGTTGGCCATTAAGGATTTTCACAAATTGGTTATGGTCTTGCTTAGTATGGGCCCAGATTCCCCAAATGTCATCCAAGTATCTCAGGTAAGCAAGTGGGAGTTTGGGGCATTTTTCAAATGCTGAGGTTTACCATCCAGCCATATAGATATCAGCACAGGCTGGCAAAAAGTGCTTGCCCATTGCTGTGTCCTTTATCTGGAGGTCATTATTTCCATTGAATTCAAAGTCATTGGGTCAAGTTGAGGTTTAGTAGTTCAAGAATTTATTTGTCTAGGTGTTTTGGGTCTGGATGTTTGTTTAGGGCTGCTCTTACGGCTTCCGTTCCTCTTTCTGTGTCAATATTTGTGTAGAGGCTTTCTGCATCCATAGAGAAAAGGAAGCATGGTTCCTTCAGTGTTAATGATCTGACTTTGTTGATAGTCATTGGTGTCCTTTATATAGCTGGGGTGTTTGTTTGAGAAGGGGTTCTGGAAGTATTCAATCAGCTCTGCCTATCCATAAGATTTGCTGGTTCAGGATTTTGTGGATCTGTGGGGTTGTCTGGGGGTAAATGGGTTTATTCAGTTGTTGGTATTTTGTTTGGTCTTGCAACTGCCTCTCTGCTGCTTGTATATAGTCCCTCTGGTTCATGAGGACTACTGCTGAGCCTTTTTCCACTGGCTTAATGATTAAAGTTGTTAGTTGTCTCAGCTCTTGAAGATTTTTTTTTCTTCCTCTAAAGTCAGGTTTTGTGTGCCAGGGGTATTTGCAGGTTGGGGAGGTTTTCTTTATCTTTTTGTATTAGGAGTTCCTTGGAAATGTCAGTCTTTCAGTTCCCAGTTATATACAAGACAAAATGGGGGATGTTTCTGCCTGTTGAGAGACGATAGTAGGTAGCCAGTTTAAAGTGTCTATGATATTGTTGGAGGTGGGCTGCCAGGGATTTGTGGGTATCTGGAAGCTTTGTGGCTGTAGCTGTGGCGATGAAGGTAAGTTCCTTTTTTTAGGAGTTCAAGGTGGGCTTTTGAGAGCTGGAAGGTTGTGGATAGGTTCACCAATGCTTCCACATAGTGCTCTCCGTGGATGTGGAATTGTGTGTGGGGCAGGGGTGGGATTTGTTGTTTGGTCTCTGCCAGGATTTAGTTCAGTGTTTGGATATTTCCTTTTGCTTGGGATGGAAGGTTGTGGGAGAAATTAATAATGGAGATGTAAATAGATGCAAAGGGGGAGGTGGTCTGGGATGCCCTTAAACCTACAGCACTTTAAATCTGCAAGGGAAGCAACTAAACAGCACTTACAGTCTGATGACATCACTGCCAGAAGTATGGTCCAAAGCGTTCCACATGACCCATAAAGCCCCAGGAACACTACTTCTGGTTTACGGCCTAGCCATGCCCACCTAGACCCAGCACTGCCCTTAAAGCATTAGTATTATTTAACAGAGACTGCTCTTCCACCAACGAGAGAGTGGCAGGGCTCCTCTTCAATGTACGAGGTGAGTTATAAAAAGACTAGTATGCTTCTCGCTTATTATTGTACCCATGTGGCCAGAGCTGAGAGGACATGATTTCACATTGCCACCTCTGTTATGTTGCCAAACAATTTGTACAACCTAGAGCATATATGGGAGATATGGTTGGTAACCTAAGTTGAATAAAATTCCCAGGGTTCTTAGCAGAGTATATAAAACAAATTTCCACCCAAATTTTACTATTTAAAATAAAATAGAACCTAGACAAACTGTATTATATATCACTATACTCATCTCAGTCTCACTTTTTGAATGGTACCCGACCACAGGCTTCTAAGACCACACAGTAAAGAATTAGAACCCCAAAAATATAGAATTAGACAGCTCCCCACCAATGCCATCACTAAACAGGACTTGACTTAAAATACTGAGGGTTGGCAGCCCCACATTACCATTAAAAAGTTCCCCAAGAGTCAACGAGTCAAGATTTAAAAGAGAAAAGAAGAAGACCCATGATGCAGAGGCCATCCTGATCAAGAAGGGAGAGACCATCGGGGTCAAGATCCAAAGCCTTGCAAGACTCCATGGGAGGTCACCAACAGCAATTTTCAGAGCTAAGACCAGCTCCTGCACCGTGAGATTCTCCAGATTCCTCAAGATCTCCTAGAGCAGAGAGATAAACGGTAAGGTTCCCCTTTGAGCGGAACCATTCTCTCTGCAGAAGAGAAGACAATGAGCAGACTCTATTTAGACAAGCTTGGGGCAGGCAGATTGGTGCTTAGTTTAGGGGGAGTCTGGTTGAAGGGCATGGGGGTTTTGGATTAGCCGAGCTGAATCCCCGCTGCCAGGTATACTCCCCCAGGTGGTTAATATAGACTGCATTGATAGAATGGGTGCCTGGGTAGTCTGAATGGCAACAGCTCTTCTGGTGCCTAGTCAGGTTTCCTTACCCTGGGGAATACTGGGAAGCTGCCACTGCTAACCCTGGTCATTCTCTTGGGAGGTGCTTGGTGGAGGGGTAGACTACCCAAGGGACCTGGAAGGCAGTAGCTCACTGTAGCTCATCATGGAGTTCACTGGATGCCCTCTTCACTTCACCATAGTACGTAGGAAGAAGACAGATGAGACCCTTTCCTCAACCATGCCTTGGCAGATTGGGGTAATCTGGTAATCTTAACAACCAATCTGTTTACCTGAGCAAGGGGTAAGTATGCAGCCCCCCTGGTTCCACTTGCACAGCACTCAGGATATGGTGATCTTGGCAGAAGTACCTTAAATGCAGCCAAAAGGCCATGCGACCTGATTTGAGGGGTATTCTAAATTAATTATAGTCAGTCTCACCTGGGAATATTTTTTCAGGTCACTTATTACAGTACAAGCTCTACTTTTTTTGGCTAATTGTGGTGTCATTTACTCTGCGGCATTACCTCAAACTGTAACACTTCCCAAGTGAGATGATGTGTATCAGTTGTATATGGAAACAATTCTGTATGTGTTTCTACAATTCACAGACATTAAAGCAAGTAATGTGTTAAAAGCACAAAGCACAGGAAAAAAGGAGTTGAGAAAAAGGAAAAATGTGAGGATTAGATGACATGAAAGGATTAAACATAATTTTAGATGGATGGAATTTAAATGTTCAAAACAATACTCTACAAAGTTTCTTTTTATTTTTTATTTTAAAAAAAGTATACATCTGAGTTTCACCTGAAACTGTGTCACATGGCCAACAGTGTTATTATGGCAGGGGGGTTCTCCCTCCCTGTGTCTTTATTCTGGATGTCTGCCCTCCCTTCTTTCCCAATTACAGTAAGTGCAGGAGAGCACTCTTTGCCACACACTTGGAGTGCTTCACTTAACAGTTTCATCTCCCAGTTGCGCCATTGTCCTGAATCCCAGAAGCTCTAGCAAAACTTGTGTACATCTTACCCTGCTCTGTTGCTGCTTCACAGGTCTGCTAGGTCGACTCTCACCGCTGTTCACTGAAAAGCAAACACCAGCTCAAACAGGTATGTGATGTACTGTCTTAAAATATATAGGTGCTAGTTGTTTTAATTGCTCCAGGTGTTAGATATATTGGTGACAATGTTTTCATGTATAGCAAAGAACTAGATTAATCAGTAGTGATTGTATTTCTTTGACTGTATAATATACTATATGAGAAGTAGGAGGTGAAAATATAGATATTAAAGGATCAGTTAACCTAAATCACTAAAACAAGCAAATGAACAAAACATACAGATAACTTTAGTTTTATTTATCCAGGTTTTGAGATATCTACCTTTGAAACATTTGGCTCCACCCCAATACAGAGATGCTGAATGGAATTTCATTTGTAGTGTTAAACAGTGAAAAATTACAGCAATGAAAAACTCTGAGACAAATATCTCAAAATCAGGGCAAATAAAACCAAAGCTATCAACATGACTAGAACCCACTAAAGGTAAGTGGAAATCTATGCTTTTATTGGCATGAACTGACATTTTAAAAAGAACGCTCATAGCAGAGGGAATGCTGTATGCTGTTAAACAACTGAATAACTGCTTTTACAGTTTAAATGCCACTGAATATATATTGCAATTTCATAATATCCTATAATGTATTTGAGTCAAATGTCAAAGAATTTCTTTAGTTCGTAAACTTTTACTTCATATAAAATGCTGTTGCGTATGGTTTAAGTGTAAAATGTAACTGGGTTGTGTGGGGTGTGTATTTGATTTTTTTCCCCCAAGTATTTTAATACAATACTCACACATAGTCAATGCCATTGATGCACCATTTCATACTAGCCTTCAGGTGGTGTCCAAGATCATCAGGGGGTAGATAAGAGTTGGGTCGGGTAGCATTCCAAACCTTAACTTCGATAGTAGTTCCTAAAAGATACTTTTTTCAGTATTTTTTACAAAATCAATTGTAACTCTATATACACACATACTGTATATATTGAGTGGGCCACAGAAAAGTAGCCCATGTACTTAAGAGCATATCGGAGGCGGGCTACCTTTCGGTGGCCCACCCTGCATGTATGCATGGTGACACAGTGGTTAGCGCTGTCGCCTCACAGCAAGAAGACTCCGGGTTTGAGACCCAGCTGACTCTGTGCCTTTCTGTGCAGAGTTTGTTCTCCCTGTGCCTGCGTGGGTTCTCTCCGGGTACCCTGGCGTCTTCCCATAGTCCATAGACATGCAGTTTAGATTGGTTGGTGAACTCTAAATTGCCCATAGGAGTGTGGGTGTCTGTCTCTAAGTGCCAGCCCTGTGATAGGTGTCCCCTGCCTCTCGCCTAATGTCAGCTGGAATAACCTACAGGCAGCCTGCCAGTGAAGCCCCCTGGGGTGGTAAATGATCAGCTCATCAATGCTGGGTTCCCCCGAAACACAGTACCTGCTTGTTTTGACTACTTAAGGCCTGTGTGTCTGCCGCATGTGTTGTGTTGAGGGTTGGTGAGAGAATTCTAACAATCCATGATGTTATGGTCAGTTCAACACTACCTGTTGGAATTAATTTAACTAATTTGGGGATGTGGTCACCTGTAACACAAGGGATTTGTGGGTGGAAGACGCAGTGATCATCAGTTATCATCAGTTGGATTTACCAACCTTGGAGCTATTTGAAAGGGAATGATGTTTCCACTACTCGGTGGGACGTAATGGTAAGTAAAAAAAAAAACACTGCATGCCTGGTAATGCATAGAGAGAACTGTAAGTTACTATGTCTGCATTATGCCAGTTAAAATATGGCGTTTCTCAATTACCTGCTTTGTTTAGAGCATTATACGTCTCTTTTCATTGGTACACATATCACTTTGGAGGAGAAATTCTAATTAATTAATGCTGTTGCAGTTCGTTGTGCTGTCCACGTTCATATTCTGGTTCGAATATGCCAGGTAGGATTTTAGGTATTGTTGGAAAAGTACTTTATTTGTCAGTGTTTTTTGTTTACCCATTGTCAGCCTCCTGATCGGTGACAGGAGTTGTGCACGTTCACAAACTATTGTCTCATTTTCAGGAGAAAGCTCTCCTTGTGATACTGGGTTTTATCGTTCCGAAGTAATTACAGACTATTTGGAGTTATGAGTGCAAAGCTAAATTAGAGCTACCAAGTTTAAAAATGAAATGGCTGGAAATAAGCATACCATGGCCACTTTAAGCAACATGCCGGACCATATTGAGATACAGAACTTCCCTTGTCTTTAAACACACTCTCATAACAATAGAAATTATTCCAAACCTGAAGTTACATTGATGTGATCCAAAATGTACAAATGGAAGTGATACATGAGTGTTCCATGAAAACTAATACATGCTTATTATTTCAGATGCTTGACAAATCATCTGTTACCAGAGACTACGTTATTCCTGACATCCTAACTCTTCAGTACTGCTCAAAAAGGTTACATAAGAAATCGTGTTCTTTTGTTGTCTTTATTTTAGTGATTGTGTGCTAATAATTCAAAATAATAAAACAAAATAACAGGACAATCATATGTGGACTATTAAATATCAGATCTCTTGCCTAAATCTGTTAGTGAATGATTTGATAAGTGAACATCACATTGA